TTGTAAACATATGACTTATCTCGCAAGCACCCCTAATAAATTCTAATTATGGAAAGCTCTTAACCATAAGGTTTCATTAAATAAATTGTATTATATCACAATGTAATATTCTTATAGAATAATATAGAAACCGAGACGTGAGCGGAACGGCAACATTTAGGCGTTAATACATCAATTACATTTACAAGCTTGTGGACATAAAGTACAGATTAACATAACAAGTCGAGTCCGGGTGGCGACACAGTTGTAACTGTCAATTTTCCGGGAACGTAATCAATTCCAAAGTCTCAACTATGTATGTACCATAATTCTACACCTACCTTAAGGTAATTACCGTAATTAATAACTTGGTAATTTGTAACATGGGTTGTAACTTGCCCCCTTGCAGTTCTAACTTGATATTCGCTCTCTATGTTGTATGTACATATATATCGATATGTATCAACATTTATCAAAATCAAAAGTAATTCTTGGTAATTATTTTTCACTGATTATTATTTTTGTACTATTAAATATTTGAGGTGTTTCTTTAAATTAAGTAATTTTTTTCTACTTAATGTAATAAGCGGATATTGCTGTGTAATTGTAAATTAAAAAAAAATGTATTTTTATTCTTTCATAATTTCTAGTAACATCTATTGAAAGTATACTATAAAAATTGTAGACCGAAATTCAAAGTATTTACAAAGTTATAACACGTAGAAGAGGGCGATGCCGACGTGTTTATCTGATCTATTGCTCGCTCGGTCCCCAAATAACTGCGTTTGTTGTTTAAATAAGAAAGTGTGTGAAGGTCCTGTGTAAACAAGACGGGCAGAATTTAAACTGTCATTGGAGTATAGCTTCTCGTTGGAACCAAATCGACATTGATATTTGTGTTCGGCGAGTATAGATGGAAAAGATAGCTACAAATTGAATGAGGCATACATCAAAAGGTGCGAATCAAAGACAATTTTGTGACAACCAATACAGTGCAGAAAAACATGTGAAATGTGTTAGTAAATCTGCTGAAAAACTTAAAGATCAAACCGGATTTGAAGTAAATAGCAATTTAGGCTTACTGCGTTTTAGCTTGGTGTCTTTCTTGCAATCGATTGTGCAGTGTAAGTTATGTGGTAGTGATATCAAGCTCTTCAAAGAATCAAAGCTTGGCTTAGGATTGATTAATTCTTGAGGCAAATATAAATAAAATGACTGAAAAAAAAACATTAAATCGAAGAAGTAGGCGATGAAAGTGTGCTAAGAATATAATGTGCATTATAAAGAGATTCATTGAACAGTAACTCAAACAAGAACAAAACTCTTGCATTAGCTAATAAATATAATAGATAAAATATCAAAGTTTTATGGTTTAGCAATTTTAAATAATCCTCTTGAAAACATGAAAGAAGGTCCACATGAGGCAATTACAGCCTCAACCCTCCTTGACGTTCTTTTCGTAAGCCATTGTATAATGGCAGCTAGTATTTTCTTACACGTAAGTACTTTCACCGTTTTTGAACGGTTGTTGCACCCTTTAACTCGGCAATCCAAATTGTCCCAAAGGCTCTCGATGGGGTTGAGGTTTAGGCTTTGAGTAGGTTAGTTCCTTCGGGTATCTATTATCACTAGGTAGGTTATCAGGTACCAATCAATGCAACATGACAACTAGCGTTGTTGTTCTGAAGGCACCAAAGGTACACGCCGGAAAATTCCCATAACGTAGGAAGCACATTGTTATCTAAAATTGTGCAGTAGGCCCAAGGCCAGTAGACCCAAGGGTCTCCATACATACCAGGAGAAACACCCCCAAACCATAATCCCATCTCTCCACAGAACTTTACTACTGGCACAATGCATTCGACAGTAGGCGTTCTCCAGGCTCACGTCAGAACTTCACTCAGAGAACGTCAGTATATTCGTTTTCTCTACGGTAATAAACAAATCCTTCTTGAACTACTTCTTCAAATGTGTAAATCTATTATCATATGTCTATCAATTTCAACTACCAAGCTCTCGATTAATGTCTCTCTGTGTCGATTTATTCGACATTTGGAACACATCGTCTCCTCATTTACCTCTCTTAATTTCTTTAAAAATAGCTCGTTAATCCATCCCATTTCATCCTAGAATTTTTCTATATTCACAGTGTTAAAAGTGCTTTTCAAATTAATAAAATTGAAATAAAGATTTCCGGTATTATTTATTCAGGCATTATTAAAGCTTCCATTCTTCTCTTATAATAGCTTTCTTTCAATTTTACACGATGAATCCAATAAATTAAATACTCGGTAACTAGCTCTTTTTTACCATTCTTGTTGAATGGGATATTATCCCTATCTTCCATTTACTTGGAAACCTCTGTCTACTTCAAATGTTGTTCAAAATTTGCCATAATTTCTCTATCATTTCTTGGGTTACTTCCAACTATGTGCGAGTCGCTTCGGAGAACTAAGAAATTCGTTTGATATATTTTCAAACGTATTATCAGAAAAGCTTATTAACATTTTATTGATATAATTTTATTTATTTTTTTACTGATGGCCTCTATTAATCTTCCATTTCTGATGATATAAAATTGTTTCACTTATTCCTTTTTGGATAAATATTTTGGATGGTGTAACATAAACGTCTACAATTTTAAAAATCAAGAAAAAATATGGTCTAATATCTCAGAATGGGCAATGGAAGGCGAACATAGCGTTACGTGTGTATATTATTCCGCGGTTGGGGTAAAGTGCAGCACTCTGGCAACATGCATAAATGATACAGATATGCATCACTAAAAATATATGAAATCATACAGAAATAAGTAAACCTACTAAACAAAACGTGTTCCAATTCCGCTTCTAAATCTCTTAATAACAAATATTACAAAAATAATTACCATGATCATGAAAAATTTTTTAACGTATCACAATAAATTTTGAGCAAAATTAAAACTTTTTAAAATATCCCAAGAACGGTTTAAGTTAGGATGTGGAAATTTCGAACAGATAAGATCTTCAAGTCATTCTCAGAAAATTTATTTAAATTGGATTATAGCACCGCCCTTATACAGAGCGAACCGCGAGGATTGCAGTCCCGGAACTCTCTTTATTTGATCATTGAAAAATACATCCTTTTACGATTTTTATATGAAATTTAACGTAATAAATTTTTTACATATAAAATGTTTAATAAATATTTGGATAATATATTTAGATAAAATCTAATTTCGTGGAAAAAGATCCTGAGGTCTATTATCCTGAAAATTCAATGAATTTGTAAAAATACACCTGAAAATATTACCTTGTTTAGTTTAATTCCTTTCCTAAAGATGTATGTAATTCACCACATAATAATACACTGCAAACGTTAACTCTACCTTGTTTATGTGAAACAAGTAACAAAAACACTCATGAAACCCAAAAATGTTTCTTCTGAATTTATATGAACCTAAGTTTATTCTTGTAATAGATAGATAGATAGAGAAACTCACAATTTCATCTCCGCTTGAGGGTAATATTTCCAAAATCCAACTCTAACTTAAACCGAAATCAACTCCAACAATAAGCACGAAAATTGCAAAGAAATCCAAATTTCAAACATACATTGGGTGTACGGAAAATGTCAAAGGAGAACAAGATCGGCACAAGTACTTATTCCTCATGAGCCCCTACGGGAACCCTGACTACACATGATGCTGTATTGTATAATTTAACTTCTTAACTTTATCACAACATAATCGACTGAAAGATACTTAAAAAACTATTTGGCAATTTATCTCGATATAATGGTCTGTATGAAAGAAAAATGATAATTTCATTTTACGTGTGAAAGTTTGTTTACTTCTATTTAAAGCACAACTTTACATGAAAAAGTTTAAATGTGATGATGGCTTTAAACCAAAATAGTTTACTTTTTTTAAGTATCGTGTCTACATATACACAGACACAATACAAAATATAGGCGAAATAGATTTAGAAGCATATATTCAGATAAAGATGAAATATATAGATCCATCTTTAAGTTTTCACGGCTCTAATAATCTGATCTGTTCTATTTTGTATGTTTTAACAACATTCTGTCTAATTTATTTACTTAAACATATTTTATTGTATAAATGTAATGTAACAAATAAATACGGATGTCGATTTTTCTCTATTCTGTTCTGCCCATGTAGATGATGACTTTCTCTTCGACAAAATTAAATCTCATTTTATATAAAGTTAATAAGTTCTATCAAAAACTACCAAAAAAAACCATTCAAATCATTATGAGATTGTTGCCTTAATAAAATTAATAGATACATGATAGAATATTAACAATTTTGCAGATTTTATATTAACATACAAAATTAAATTCGTAAAAAATGGTAAAGATTTAAAAGTCGATTAAAATTTAAGATTGAAACTTTACACAAGTACTAAAACTTGTACTCGTGCAAATATATTCTTCGTAAAAGTAAGAAAGGAAATTTTTCGTTTAGTTTGCATGTACAACTTGAAGGCTAAAAGCAAGCGAGATGAGATGTATTTTCCTTTTCTACTATGTATTTAATAAATACTGTACAGCATGAGAAAATAAAACGTAAAAAAAATGTAGGTTTTAATGTGACTTTAGATTAATCTTGCCGTTTGGTACTTTTGGCGGAGTCGCCTCCACTATGTCGTTTAAAAGGCGCTTTATTTAACCGCGCGACCGCAAAATAGGGTAGAGAGGTCGTCACGTTACCCCGTTCACCTAGCCTCATTTTCCCTCGGCGCCGCCACCGTTGGGGTGTTCCTCTTTCCAGGTGGTTTACACTCGACGCCATCGTTAGTCGGTACGTCCGCTGTCAAACAATAAAAAACGGAGAGGAATTGCTTTGACTGTGAAATAAGTAGGTCCACGACCGACGCAGATCAGATGCAGAGAAATAATGATACCCCCTCTATGATTGCATCCCCACTCCGGCCGCTGACTCGGGAAAGCATCCCGTGTTCCCAGTCTCTGTTCAGCTTTTCTGGGGTGCGCGTAAACCATCCCCAACAAACGTACGCGTTTAGAGGACTACTGTTCAGTGGCGGTTTTCGCGATCTTTGCGCAGTGTACCTCGGTTGAGCCGACGGTGTCGACCACCTTTTCCGAGCTTTTTGTTTGATCGGAGATAAAAGCGACAATCGAGAACAGACATCACTCAATGTTACTGTAAATTATTGTGCTTTTTTGATTATTTCCGGCTGCATCCAATAATTTTGGGTCTGACACTGGGAAAATCCTTCTGCAGGCTTCTGACTGACAAACAGCTGCAACTTGTTTTTTTATACGACATTTTTTGTAGTGTCGGCGTTTTCATTTTCCATTGTTGACTGTCTTGACTTTTTTGTGTTTCCTTTTGATTTTCCAAGTATTCATCGGACGAGTACGAACTGTAACTTTCTTCTTATGGTGTAGTGTTTAGTGATTCGCAAACAGTTGCTGTGAAGTTATTTTGTACTGTGGATACGAATTTGAAAAAGTGACTGTTTTATTAAAAAGTGTATGGGATTTCTTCGAGTTCATCAACCAATAGGTAGGATTATCATTAACATTTAATGACTTAATAATATTATAATCTTGATTTTATAAAAATAGACGTAGTTTTCCCTGTGTTTCACTTTCAATTAATTTTATTATTTTTACTAGAATTTTATTTTGGTTCCAAAATTATGGTTATATCCTGTTCTTAAAAAGAATGAATAATGATCTTAATCTGTTTTCGCTACATATTTTGTTAACTGCAATATTTTATCGATTCCTTGTAGATCGTGTATCTCTTACATATGTATGTTAGGGGAAAAGTGTATGCTTTCTATTCGTAAGTCGCCATCGTCGCGTCGTTGGCAGATATCCAAAAGACTTATTTTTCAAGGTTTCGCCTTCTAGCCAAATAGATTTTAATCGGATCATCTCAAATTTTAATTTTAATTTCAATTATTATTCTGTTCAATTACAAAACCTTTTCAGCACTCTATTCATTGTAACATTAAAATAATTTAAAAATAAATAAAGTGTAAAACATGAACGTTCATTTTTACTTGAATATTGGTTTATATTTTATTTTATTTCAAACACGGTTTGAATATTGATGGCTATGAACTATACCTATTTGTAATTTAGTTTTTGCGGTGAGTAGAAATAAAACTGTACGTTATATTTACAAAAATTAAAATTTTATAAAGGTGTGTTAACTTATTCAGCCTTTATTTTCAAAACTTACTACATTAATTATTTAAGAAAATCATATGGCGGTTATTTTTTCGATTATGTGAGGTAGTTTGTTGTGTAATTAACCTTGTTATAAAATACGACAATAGAACACACCTGATATGTTACTGTAAATAAATATTGTTGTATTAACCTTGAACATATTGTTTTCTATGAAGCATACAAATTTCATTAGATATATCTTATTACGTATGTAAAACTTCTGCAAAAAATTAATTAATATTAAACAGTAATTGTTAAAATATTGAATAATTTATAAACGGTATCTTAACAAAAAATTACAAATTTTCTTACAATCCGTTCTAATTCTAAGAAAACACAAATTCTGGGTGTTTTGGTGAATCGAAAAAGAGGTTTGACAAATAAGATATAGATTTTGTCAAAAACGATATTACTTGTTTTGAAACTAGATGACACTTCTAAACACGATTTGGCTGTACCAAAAGCTGAACGCAAACTTGAAGAAAGTGTTTCGTATGAATTTGGGAGCATTGCAAAACATTTTTTGTACTTTTTAAATTTGCTGTGTCATTACCATATTAATCAGTATTGTAGTCGTTTAGGTGGTCTAAAAATTGAAAATATTGTTTCTAACATTTAGATAACAGCTCGTAGATTGTTCTTTGTATAATACTCCGTAATCAGTCATACGCATTGAACTCTTTAAATTTCGTGGTATCGGAAGTCATTCAATATTATGAATCTTTTCTTCTCGCTATCCACTTTTTTTTGCGATAAGAACGTTTGATATTAGACTTCATATAATTTAGATCTTTATTCTCCAGTTTTATAAGCTCATAGAGATTTTTGATAATTTTAACTCTTCTCTGTCCCATCTCATCTTGACTAGATTTTATTGCACTCTAAATGATTACTCTTAGAACTACCAATTTTAATTGCTGCGGTGAATTTATCTTGTTTAATACTAAGTTTATTTGCTGAAATGTTTCTAATTCTAAAACTTTTAATTTAAAATGTCCAAGATTACTGTTTCTGTGAAACGAGACATTTTTTGTAATACTCGGGATAAGGCGTCCTGGTTTCATAATTATGTTAAATGGGTGACATTTTCTGTAATAAAATAGAATGTTTTAATAAGAAAATAAACACGTGTGGTGATTAAGTGTCGATTATATTTCATTTAAATTATTATATCTCTACTTGTCATAAAATACATATCTGCAACAAGTACTGAAATCCAAGAGACTTAAATTCGGAAACCTTGGAGGCTATGTAATAGGATCATCTTGCCTTATCCATGTCCTAAGAAGTTCATTGATCAAATATTCTGTAATAGTATAACTAACAAGCCGGTTTTAGGATTGCAAATCTCAGGATTTGTTATTCCTAGAACTTATTACAGTATTTTTTCACAGAAGCCATAATGTGAGGTAGATTGGATAAACTTCGATATTGTGGAACCCTCATGCTACACTACTATACACTCATCTTAGGTGAGCATTTCACCAACTATCACGGATGTTCGCGGCTTGCAGTTGACCTTACATTTTTTTGACTGTAATATATTTGTATACAGATGTTAATGTTATTGGCGCCTATTTAATGTAATATTATAACATTTAACATAATGCCTTGGATGCGTAATTTAGTATCGACACAAAAATAATTCATCCGTGGGGTAGTTTGGATCAAGTCCCAGTTGTGTAGACCCACATAGTTCTCGGATGCAGTTCCCATGTCCTCCCAATTGGTCTCCAATATTGGGAGAGTACCGTCGCATTCTTTGTTTTAGAGAATTATATTCTCTATTATCTTTATCTTTACGTTCCAGTAGAATTAATACATCGCCGTCATAATCAACTATAAAAAAGTGTGTGATACTCCTAAAGGTGGATCTATCGAACACGATATCTATGGCTACGAAAATAACCAATGCTCAGTATTTATTTTAAATCTAATTTGCTCTGAATGTAATATTTCACTTTTAGTAAAACCAACTCCATTACTTTAAACATTATCTCAAAAATCCCCACACAACATCTTTTAGTAAAAGCTGCAGTAATTGTATTTGGTTTTCCATTTACCTTTGAAGCTATCACTCACATGAAACCTGTTTAGCGCAATAATTTAAAAAAAAATATGATACAAAATTGAAGCACTTCGCCATGTAAACATCATCGCAAAAAACCCCCACACATCTTTTAGTAAAACCTGCAGTAATTCTATTTGATTTTCCATTTACCTTTGAAACTGTCACTCACATGAAACCTGTTTAGGGCAATAATTAACAAAAATTATTATACAAAATTGAGGCACTTCGCCATGTAAAAGCTTTTATATCGCAAAGTGTCCACTAGAACATTAGACAAACATTGAATCTTATCGGTGTCTTCCTTCATACAGAGTGCTTCTTAATAATAAGAAATATAATAGGAAATATTACATATATCTTTAAAATTACGATAATTTATACTCGTTATACCTCCAAAACTACTAACTTCTCTAAAATATTAAATTTAATAAACTCATTAGATTCGTCATGAAACTTCTTTATTGCAATGATTAAAAAAAGTTGATGTTGTGTCAAGATTATGATGCTACTTTATACATCGTGGGTATGAAGATTCGTAAACCTAATAGAACGAAGTAAAAAACAAAAACTATTCATACAGATTCGTTAATATCAGTAAGTATATTTTGAGCTTTCCTGGAAATCCGTAATGCGATGGAAATGATATTGAGCAGCGATAGAACTTTTTGAATGCTTTTGCGGAGTACATTTCAAAGCCTTTTACTATGCGGGGTCTTCTCCGCTTTTGGTATTACCGGTGACAAAAAAAGAAGTAATGCGTGTACGGGGAGCTTTTCCAATAAACTGAAGAAGATCGAACCTTAAGTTACCTGGTTAGGTATTATCGCTGTTCATTGACCGCTTCTTTAGCAACGTTTATTTGTTTAGTAATTTAAAGTTGAACCTCTCCGGATCGATAAAAGTTCGCTAAAGTTATTTAAAAGAGTGATTGTAAGCAGGCTGTTAATTATAAATCCATTTCCATTATAATCAATTTTGCAAAACCCTTAAATACTTAATTTAGTACTTAATAACGTAACACTTGAATTTAATTAATGCTACAGCATTGCATTCCTACTCTCCAATATTGATTCTGACCTGGTAGATCCTAGCTAGGCATATTTTTTCATGGTTCTTTTTCAAATTAAGGATCGGCTTTGGTGGGTGTTATGTAAACGGATTTTGACAGAGTATTTATTGTGCCGAGTCATAATTTACTATTTTGGTTATCAATTTACTGACTACATTGCTGCTTCGAGCGTACGTCAGTATCTAACCTGGAATCACTTCAGTCAATGTTAGACTTTTTACACTAGTATATAACTTAAATTATAGCTAGCATGAGCTGAATTGAATCGCTTCTTGGAGCTGACTGAATGTTTTAAAATTGAATCTATATGCTGCATACAAATTTGGCAGCGACTAATTCGTTTGTAAAATTTGGTTAGAAGATGGATGAAGTTGAATTTAATCAGAATAAGTATTTCAAATTTAGGAATAACATTTATACTGTAACATTTATATTGTATCTGTCAATAGAACAGTAGGCTAAAGGACTGTTATTCGAGCCGTAACTCGTGATAGGTTTTCGCCAATAATGTCTGACTCTTTTATATCTACCAAAAATTTAATAATAATCTTTGCTTTTACTTTACCCAAAAATAGATGTTTACCAATTCAGATATTATCGCCATCTGTCCCAATAATGATAATTTTCTGAAACTTTACCCAAAATTACAGATTGGTCCAAATCATCTCCAAATTGTTTGGAATCCCAACTGCGGTTGTTGTTCTGAATTATTTCCGAAGTTTCTAAGTTAGGTAAGTTACTTAATAAATGTATATTGGACTATTTAATGTTCTTCTTCTATTTATATAAAATTAGTTCCAAGTTTATTTTTGACTCGCTACTAAAGTTTTCATCAAGGACCTTACTACAGCTTCAAGATTGTTTATTAGCAGCAATTTTTCTCCCTGCAAAATATATAATATATAATAAAAACACAATTTGTTACTAAATAGATTTTGTAGGAAGCGGTTTCTACATTGAAAGTGAAGCTGCATTTATGTATTATTTCGAGAATAATTACCTAGACACATATGGGTGTATATTTATAACTATGAGAAACAGAAACAAAATGGGTCGGTCTGTGGTTAGAGAATTAAATATTTCCCGAAGTTGCGCTATTGAATATAACCTAGGACCTAGACAGTTAATCATGTTGACAAAGCAGGATAACTTTACGATTAATTTTAAACTTATCTACAAAAGA